CGCCTTTGAAAATGTCCACCGCAGTTGTGGACGAAACGTCAGGAAGAAATTCCCATAGACCACGGCTTCAAAGCCCGGAAAACATTCCTAAATGAAATCAATTAAATCCCTGATTTTCATTTAACGATCTCGACTTATAAATTCAGTGATTGTAGATAAACTGTTAATTTTCCGATCTGTTTTAGAATTGCTCCTTCCGCCTTGTTGGCACAGCAAACACGCTATAAATTCCTTACCTACAAAAATACGATCGTATTTTTAAAAAGTCAAGGTATCAACGTACCAGGACTTAAAGCGCAACACTTGCTGCTGTATCCAGAATATTTGGAGTATAAAGAGAACCTTGCCAACATATATCTAGACAATGATTTGGAATACTTTGAAGAGGAAGAATTTTTTAGATTTACCAAGCAGAAATGGCTTGATCTGTTCTTCCATATCTATAAAGTATGAATTTAAGGCGTAATTTTGTCATCGGCTTAACTAAGAACTAATATGAAACTTTATAGACTTTAATCCTCGAGAGAGTAGTGAACCCTAAATCTGTACAGAAAGAACCAGCAAGGCAAATTTATGAAGACAGTGAGTTTATTCAATATGATAAAATTGATCGAGAAACATATGTAGAAGCAAATATTTCTCGCTTTCCAACGTGGTTTTATTGTGACGCCAAATTGCTTCTCTGGTTAGAATACCATTATAACCACCAGAAAAAGGTCCTCTGGCCGAACGAACGTTTTGAAAAAATTCAACATTTTCAAGAGTTGTCGGACATTGATGACAGGTAACGTATAATGTAATGTGTAATTGTCTTGATGAGGAAAATGAAGCCGAAATTAAGCAGACCATTACAAAAATATCAATTTCTTGATCTGAAAAAAAATGGGGAAAAAGGCTTTACATTAATGGAATGTAGTTCTGTTGCGTTGAAAAAGTTAAGATTATTTTAAAGTTGCTTCCTGTAAAGGGCATGGAGAAATCGTCCGTGAAGCCCAACTAAAATAGTTGATGCAATAGTTTGTATAAATCTGTTTTTCCAAAGTATTATTTTTTTCTAAATTCCGTTCCAAAGCACATCATTCGAGATATTCGAGCATTTCCAGGCTTCTTGGGCACCCTATCTTATGATATTTGTATCTGAACCCAACCCCTACTGGTATCTTAATTTCTATAATGGTAGATCAATAGTAATGAAATTATTTGACTGTTCAAGCAGATATTGCAGCAGATTATCGCCTCTTTAAATGCCACAAGAAGCAGAGTAATCGTCAAATTCTCTCTTTCAGTGTTGCACTTGTAACGGTCACTGCCGCATATTGTCCTTATTTGAGGGAACAATTATCCGATATATATGTGTTTCCCAAGAACGTAGAACAGAAAGTCCATAATGCATGTACGGTGGTCCAGTCGTGGAAAAATCTAAACCTCAGCTTCGATATTCATCCTCAAACCATCGTAACGGCAAACAAAGTGAAAGTTATATTCATTTGTAAGTCACTCATTTAGTTCGCAATTTTTTCATACAAAACGTTAGTGGTTTTACTAGAAAAATAAATTGTAGTCCCTTTCACTTTCTCTTTGTCGTTGCTCTTATAACTACAGATTATTTGTTTTTCATATAATTTTTTCTGGGTTTCCTTGTTATTGGTGAATTTTGGGAAATACTCTCATATGCACTCTCTAAAGTTGCTTTTCTTGCGATCTGGATATTGCGGTGCTTATAAGGTAAAGAACAACACTTGTTGTGTTTTACTTATTCCCTATAGCAAACTCTTCTATTTAAAACATGATTATTTCAGTTGCAACTTGGACTGCTGTTCAGTCCAGGCCAATATTTAAAGTGAGCAAAAAATACGCGATTTTACCTTTTGTAGTGACCTACCTATATGAGGTTCTTCCCAATTTCTATCCAACAAATGAAGTGGTTATTGAAGCACCTTTGTCAGAATCGGCCACTTATAATCTCAATGTCCAAAATTATGGAAACGTGCCTATCCAGTACATTGCTCTATTTTTCGGTGAGAATTCCGGTTTGTTCAAGCTAGATTCTACTATGCTGATCATTGCCGGTGGAAAATCTAAAGCTTTAAAGCTGACTTACTTTGCCAAAAAGGTACTTAATGTGAGTATCCATTCAAGTTAAGATTACGTCTTTGTTAGAGATAAGGAAATGTTTTTTAGGCATCTACAATATTGGTATTGTCCGGTGAAGTAGGAGGCCAACGATACGCGAAAAGCCAGGCAGTATCCATAATAGGCGTACCGCAAACCACATGTCTAGAGGAAATAAACTTGACCGTTGATACTTATGAGTACAGCAAAAGGACACTTAATATAAAAACTCCTTATGGGAAAAGTTATCGGTCCAAGATATTCCTGTGTTTTAAGGAGCCGAAGTCTTACAACGATCTGCACGCTGTCAAGTTCCTAAAAGACAATTATATCCCCAGGGAAATAGATTTTTCCGCTACTGAGTGTGAATTTGCTGAAAAGGGTAAGTTAACTTTGACTCAGAAATGGCAATTGGAGCCAGAGCCATTCAGCTTTTAAGTCAGAAGTCAGTTGGGGGTGATGAGTGATGATTCAGTCATAACAACATGAGTGAAGAAATTCGAGTAGTTTCGAGCCAGAAAGCGAACTTTGAATATTAGACACTTGAGTGCAAGATTATGACAAAATTGCATGTTTTTCGGCCCGTTTTTGCTCATATCTCGGAGGCAAAATGAGCAAGAACGCTTACTTGTACATCATTCTAGACATAAATAAATGGCCTTTTTAAAAAGTGAACGATGGATGGGGAAATGTTGGCAGTTTTCTCAAAAATGCTTGAATTCAAGAAGTTGTAGATTTGAGTAGTTTTTTTTGAGTTGCAAAATCCACTTAAACATGACGCTGCTTTTTTAGAAGTTTCTCAAGAATTATTCGAGCCACAGAATTCGTTTCATCGTTGAATAGAGAATTGAAAAGTCGATTCAGTCGTTGCAATGTGAGTGAGGAAAATCGAGCAGTTTTGACACAGAAAGCGAAATTTGAATATAAGACACTTAGGTGCAATATTATGCCAACATTTCATGTTTTCCGTCCCGTTTTTGCTCATTTCTCGGAGGCAAAATGAGCAAGAACGCTCATTTGTACACCATTCTACAGAGAAATAAATGACCTTTTTAGAAAGTGAACCATCGATAACGAAATTTTGGCAGTTTTCTCAAAAAATGCTTGAATTCAAGAAGTTTTAGATTT